ATTATAACCCTCAGGCAGTAGAATTCTCCTTTCTGTTTTGCGAAGAAAAGGAGCTGAACACCTTTTGCAGAGAACACCTTTGTATATTTTTAATGCTTACTGGGTTATATCCTATCTTCTTTTGTCTCTCATTCTTTTGCATATTTTGGAGTTTGACAGCTGAACTCCGCCATTTAATTTGCATATGCAACCAAAGTCAGACGCGTGATTTTGAAGGTGTTTTTATTTAATGAATTGTGATGAATTGGTTAATATTAAAGTCGTAAAGCAAGTTATAACAAATCAAGTAAAGTGTAAAGTGAAGGGGAATACAAAAATATATTGGTGAAGTGGCTAATTTAAGCAGAATAGGAGTGATAAATGTACGCTAATTTCCGAATTTTACAAAAAAGGGCATATTTCAAACCAAATTTGTAAATAAATTAGTAACCAAAATTTACAAAAGTGAGTGTTAAGATATTGCGTGGACCCTTGACTACAAGTGTGTGAAATTTTTTTTGGATCGGGCCACCCATTTGGACGGAATAGCCCGAAATAGTTGTGAGCGGTACTAAACCCCACCCGATATATGTATAAATATGTACATATATCAAATTAAAGAGAATTAAATTCTCTATCAAATGACATCAAATTTTCCCAATCCTTGGAGGGGTTCTCGAGAAATATTAATTAAAAAACATGCTTAATTTGAACTTTGACTTTTAATAATTGTTGTAGTTGTTGTTTCCCAAAAAAAATATATATATCGTTACGNTTACAAAAGTGAGTGTTAAGATATTGCGTGGACCCTTGACTACAAGTGTGTGAAATTTTTTTTGGATCGGGCCACCCATTTGGACGGAATAGCCCGAAATAGTTGTGAGCGGTACTAAACCCCACCCGATATATGTATAAATATGTACATATATCAAATTAAAGAGAATTAAATTCTCTATCAAATGACATCAAATTTTCCCAATCCTTGGAGGGGTTCTCGAGAAATATTAATTAAAAAACATGCCTAATTTGAACTTTGACTTTTAATATTTGTTGTAGTTGTTGTTTCCCAAAAAAAATATATATATCGTTACGTTCACCTCAATGATCTCCATCGATCCCAATATGATTTTTTTTAATTTGAGAATTGTAGGTATTCTACATTTATGCCCAAATTTTAGAGTATAAATATTTTTTTATAATTTTACAGACATTTCAAATTTCATTTTATGTTCCCGTTGCCGTTGCCGTTGACTTTGCATCATTATTTTTAAGGTATGTACATAAATATGTAAACTACTTAATTTGTGCATTTTAATTGATTTTCTGGTTATTACAGATTTGCAACAATTAAAATTACCATCGCCACCATCATCTTTAACGCCGTCACCAGCTGATATCGCACTCATCATCAATCAACACCTCCTCCATCACCTTTAATGCCACCACCAACATCGTACCATCACCTTCAACACCCGTACCAGAAGTATCGCCACCATCATCATTCAGCACCGGAACCAGCAAAATCGCACCATCAACATTCCACGCCTCTACCAGCAAAATCACCTTCAACATCGCCACTATTACTTTAAGGCCACCACCAACATCACCTTCATCGCCGGCACCAGCAATGTTATACACATCCACATCAATGGTCCTGTGCAATAATGACACAATTCAAAATTCAAAAAATAAAAACTGGTACTACTGTTAAGTGGTTCTTGTCTGTAATCCTCGTCTAATCCATTTCCAACCTTAACTAAAGTAAGCAGTAAGGATTGCTAAAGCAAGTACTAAATATTAGACACGGATTCGACATGGATTAGATATATGAGCCACTTAACAGTAGTAAGGGTTTTATTTTTTTAATTTTGAATTGTGTCATTATTGCACAGGACCATAGATATCTACAAAGTATGTTATTTGTTTGTACATATGTACTATAAGAGTTTTGTATTAATGAACGTTTTTTAAATAAACAAATGCATTTTTAAAAGTAAAAATTTTGATTTTCTACTTATTTGTTTTTTCCTGTACTGAGGAGTTTATAACGACAAAAATGAGTAGTTTGATTATTAGTGATGAGGAGTTTATAACGACAAAAATGAGTAGTTTGATTATTAGTGCTGAGGAGTTTATAACGACAACAATGAGTAGTTTGTTTATTAGCACTGAGGACTTGCTAATGACAATGAGTACTTTATTCATTAGCACTGATGTGTTTATAAAAACGAAAATAAGCAGTTTGGTAGTTGCTAGAGCAGAGCAGATATATTTTTCATTAATCAAAGTTTCCAATTAGTAAGAAGAGGTAAAATATTACACCGACAAAGGGAAGTGCTCAGTTTTATCCCATGGCCTGAACAAAAGTGAGTATTTTAATAAGCACTTTTGTAATTTGTGATAATGATAAAATGAGCACTTATTTGATGCTCAGCTGTCTTGCAGGGTTATAAGAAAAACATAAATCATATATTTACACGAATAAAATTGATTTTACATATGTATGTATGCACCTTCATCAAACAATTTTGCTTCATTTTGTTGCAGCGCCAAATCGTCTGTTCCAATTGGATCTATTACTTAAGTAAAAACTTCTGTTTTTAAATAATTCACAAGTAATTCGGATTTTTATAAATACCAAAGATATCGTCATCTAAAACTTCGCATACGATGACTTCAAACCGTCGGTCTGATTTTCCGGTAAAATTTCTTTTAAAGCCTGGTCAACAATATCACACTCCAAATGTTGTGTTTTAGCGGAGGGCCACCACCGGTTCCATATAAAGATTGTTTCTTTTGAGCACTGCGCTTCCGCATTTCCCCTTTTAAATTTGCGTATTTGTTCGCAAAGCGCGTGCACTTCTTTTTTGGCCCGGACACATTGCGTTGAAGCTTTCCTCCACTTTCTCCCATTCCTTTTCCTTCTAAGCAGGTTTCACTTTATCTGTCGATTTATTTTCCAAAATGTGGGCATGTTGTCGTATAAGGCACATAAGACTTTCTATTTCTTCAGAAGAAAAATTTTTGGTACGCGAGTTTTCCATTTTAAGTCCACAATCATGATGCAATAATACAAGGTTCGATAAACTGACAGTTGTCTCTCTCGCACCGCTCCCTTAGCAGTGGCACCGTGTTGCTTCTTTGCAAATTTACATGGAAACAGTGCAGATTTCGTGTGAAATAAAAGTATAAGCTTTTGTGCAATATGTTTATTTGTATATGCATATGAAGCATATTTAACTGATAAACATAAACATTGGATGTTTACATCAATCTCATAGTAGTCTTATTTTAATTTTGAGTCATTTTGCAGTTTTTATACGGCTGAATAGCATACAAATTACGTAATTCACGTAGATATGTCAATATTACGTTCAACATTTCGTTTAAAATGGCAGATTTCCTGCAAATACATTAGAATGTACGAAAGGAATTTCACTACTAATTGCCTACTTTGCGCACTTTCTACTACCATTTTCGAAACAAGGGATTGCATTCTTGCCCTTTCTCTGTCCTTCGTAAATGCAACCTTTTGTAAGGGAGTGTCAAACCGCAGCTGTCAATAATTATCTAACCTTGTATTATTGAATCATGGTCCACAATATTTTATATCAGCTGTTTACATGTATAACGGCCCTGGTTTTGATTTCACTTTTAGCATGATGCTGCCATATTTTTACTCACTTAAATTAAGTAAAGTTAATTTCGACTTAAATGAGTTTGGAGAAACGCAGCCTTAATAATGGTTTTTCATTGAGCAAAACCAAAGGCAAAAAATGCACAAGCCCTGGTGTAATAATTTATGTTTGTGTATTTCGCTCTGTGTAAAAAATGCTCCCTCCTAAATATTATTTTATTGGTCAGTACTGGATAATCGTTACTAATTTAAACGCGAATGGTTTGTTTATTACGCTTTCACGCTTTAACTACTCAACCTATCATAATGAAATTTCGCACACTAAAGCAGTGATGCCTACGGTGACCATAAATATATTTTGAAAATGCAGGACAATTTAAAAAAAATGTATCTACATATAATTGCGTAGTATAAAAATAACAAAAATATACTACATACATATATACATTCCACGTCATTTGAATAGCGCACCCTTTACTTGATTTTCTATCATACAAAGTATGCTTGACAAAATTTCTATATGGAAGAAAATGCGCAGCACCGTCAACAAAAAAATTGTCGCCCCTGTATATGTTTTTTTAATTTTCAAAAATTTTTTAAATCGGATGTAGACGTAGAATATGCTATATTTTTATAAAAAGTTAATGAATATTAAACAAACAAAAGGAAAACTGTACCTACTAAGTATTAAAAGGGTGCGCTATTCAAATAACGAAGTCTGTATATTTCTTAATTATTAATCCAATTTTAAACTTTAAACATAAATCACATTTGCTTCATTGGTATTAATCTTTTAGTAATGAATGTTTACAAAATTATAATAAGGCATATTACTTATTACTTTACACGAAATACGAACCTCTGTAAAGCAAATTTTTTAGGCAAACTCTGGGTCGGTGAACACGAAAAAAATACCCATGGTTTCAAAGAAGTGTTTTCGAGATTCGTTCGAAAAACGTCTTTTTAGTACTTTTTCAGTTATTCCTCAAATCTCATGAAACGACCAACAGTTCGAAAGGTATTGATGGGCTCTTTGCAAAAATATATATTTTTTGTGCAGATTGTGTTCCGTATCATCTACATTTCTCATCAGATTTTCATTTACTGTAAAAAGAAAATTAATTAAATTTCCATTTTTCGATTTTGGGCGCTTGTAAGACTAATAATTTGCAGCGAAATCGGCAAAGTAATATATTTTTGTAAGAGGACTGTAGGTCGCTTATGTTGATTGGATAATTTTTTCATGAGATATTGAGGAATAGGTTCGAAATGTACCAAAAACACGTTTTTCGAAAAAATTACCAAAACGCTTGTTTCAAAGGAAAATTGGCTTGGAAAATATTTTTTTCTTAAGCGATTACCACAACATTTGTAGAAGAGTGTTATCGATATATTTGATGCTGGTCTTCAATTTCTCGTCATCCATTGTCCATAACCGTACAATATTTAGAACGCACTGACTAGTTGAACCTTTGAAACCAGCTTACCCTTATGTAGTTATCAATTAGTTATCGACACTGCTTTTATTTCGATTAGGAAAAGTTAATTTTAAAATATCGAAGAAAATGCAGGACAAAGGCAGGACACTTGGAAAAAATCAGTACATTTTGGGGGTTTTCTGTTTTGAAAAACTACGCAGGACAGACCTTTAAATAACAGTACGGTCCTGCAAAAAACAGAACGGATGGTCACCGTANCCTGCAAAAAACAGAACGGATGGGCACCGTAGTGATGCCACATGTTTTTTTCGAAAATCCCTACCATCGCCTAAAAAAAATCTCTACTTTTCCCTACGCCCAAACAAAAAATTCCCTACGAAATTCCCTACAATATTTTTGTAACAGCAGCGGTACAAAAATTTTCAAAATTAAAGCACATTTACATGAGGCGGTTTTATAAAAAAAATTAATTCAGTTACATAGATTGAATAAAAATACGGGTTTGCTTTAAATATGGGTGTTTCCAGCGAAAAGTCTACCGCGTAAAAGAATTAAAGTCCTGTATCTAACTTATTTATAGACCGATTTGGCTGCTATTTACAATATATACTGGTTATATAAGCAGAAACATTTTTGCCAAAAATGGTCCCGTTAGGTGGCGCATCGGGATATTTTGAAAAACCGTATTTATGCTCTGATTTGTTTCACATTTGGCATGTTTAGTTGAAACGTAATAAGACACAGATTTGCAAAAACTTAAGCTGATGGCGCTTATGTCAAAACAAAAAGATCAAGAACAATATTATTTGAGTAGATAACGTTACGCCAGGTAACGTCACGTCAGATAGTACAGCTGATTAAACATAAAGCAGAAAATATTTCTACATTTAAAAACTTGGAAAATTGACCTTAAACATTTCCAATATTACTACAAAAACTTTTATACAAATAGTCTTGCCCAATTCGCAGAGTTAGGCAATTTTGTGATCGAAGTCAAAATCCACTTCATGCAGTTGTAATTTATTTTTTACTGAATAAGGGGCCATTTAATTGCTATGCAAATCTAGATAGAGGTTTTTAAAATTTTGACTTTTTTAATCTTTTTTGTAACATTTTGTCGTACGAGTGTCACATAACGTCAGTTTGGAAATACCCTTATATATAATCCCAGTGGGAAAAAGTAATGTTTGGGAATGTAAAAATTAATGGATAGCCCCTATAACCTACGCACGAAAAGATGCAAGAATTTCTCTACAGCGTTGTCATACGAAAGTAATGTGTCGCATGTCTCTTTGCGAAGCTATAAACACAATCTAAGCACGGCAGTCGAACAGGCATCCATTCGGCTACAACAGCTGTTGAGATAACGTGAAAAAAAAATTTACTTGAGTTAGTTTTCAATTTTTTCTTTTGTTTGTGGCTTCAAAGCTACACATCATCCGCTCGCTTACATTGCGATGCATCTTTTCTTTCAACCGTACTTGTTAATCCTTTCTTGGTAGAAAAATGTAATGGATTCCCATTTTCCCACTGGGATTATTTTTTTATTTAAATAAATCACAGTATGTGTTTATTAGAAAAGAAAACAAAAAAAAATGTATTTATGAAAAAAACATCAAAAGCAAAAAACATAAGTGAGGAAATTTTAATGATGGTCATATGTATATGTTTTTAGCCATCATAAATTTAAAAATAGATTCTGGACATTTGTACGAGCCGCAGTCAACACATTCGTCTTGCAAAAAACGACAGAATCATGCAAATATTTATTCACATTTCAAAAATTCGCCACATTTTAAGATATATAAAAAATCTGCCCTTTTCCCTACGTACGCATTTTTCCAGCCAAAAATCCCTACATGTAGGGAATTT